CTTCCTTCTTCTTTTTTTCACTTCACTGCTACTTTTGGACATTTGGTTAATATTTGCCTATTTGGTTCACTGCTACTTTTGGACCTTTGGTTATGTAATATTTGGCATATGGATCTGCTATCCCTTTTTTTATTTCACTTCACTACTACTGTTATGTAATATTGGCATAGTCCTACTATTTTTTCGAATAATTTGGATAACTACTATCCTCTTGGTTATACAATATTTTACAAGTTTAATTATTCTTGTTATTATGCATTTAAATTGGGTTAATCTATGTTCTATTTTACACTTCTGTAATTCAATATGAAATTGGTAAAAAATTAAAAATAGACTAATTTAGAAAATTTAGTCCGTGGATTGGATCCAATTCGATCCGTCATTTCACGGATCCGATCCGATAACGGATTGGTGGTGGATTCAACATTCTCCAATCTATTGTGAGCGGATTGGATTAGGAATGATGCCTAATCCGATCCATGGACACCCCTACCATCAACAGTATGTTTGAGTGATTTAGAATAAGACAGGGTTTAAGTGCGTTTGAGTGATTTAAAATAAGATAGGGCTTAAGTAGGGATGTCAATTTTTATCGTCCCGCCGGGGCCCCGCCCCATCCCGCCCCGTTAATAACGGATATGGGAATACTTTTTATACCGTTAGGGCGGACATGGATACAAATTTTGAACCCGTCGCAGGTCATAGGGCGGGTAAGGGTTCAATATATATATCCTAAGGGCCCCACCCCGTCCCACCCCACTAAGTATATAATTATATTTAATATATATATGTGTGTGTGTATATATAATATTAATAACTTATTTTAGCGACTTACCCAGTTACCTATCTCTTACAATCCTATTTTGGGATGTAAACTTGGTATTAAATTTGTTTTTGTTTTAGTTATGGTGGAAGTTGGAGCTTAGAACTTCTTGTGATTTGGTTGTATTAAATTTTTATTTTTGTTCATTATGTTTGTTGAGGCTGAAATTCGCGTAATCCGATACGATATCGTTTTCCTGCAAGGAAGAGAGGAGAAGATCGATGAACCTTGACGGCACCGGTGTGGTGCCTGCTAAGAGCTCTCCGACGATCAAATTAGTCATGGAGGTCTAAAAAGAAGGCATGGATTAATAATAGTTTTTACGTCGTCCCTTCTTTAATGGCTTGGTGCCCTATTTATGGCTGTCGATTGGAATCAAAATCGTTCCGCCGATATCGATGGTTGATCTTATCTTCCGCTTGTGCGAAATCATAGGAGATTTATTGCCAAATTTGTCGGGGATATGATTTAATCCTTTTGACCTCCTCCAGTTATAGTAGGATTATTCTTACTTGTTGAACCATGTCAGATTTGATTTCATTATCCTTGATAATGAAATCTAATTAATCTTATCGAAGGTAGGGTAGGTTTATATTTTTCCCTATCAGTTGCCCCCCATTCCCAAGTTTACACGTCTAGCTTTGGGAATGTAATAAATAATAATAATATTTTTTTTTTCTTTTTTTTTTTGTAATCCCTGTGAACAATACCCGTGGTAACTATTCACGTAAATAGTAAATCAGGATTTTTTTTTTTTTTTTTTGCACCCGAGGGACAATACCCTCGGGTACTGTGCATGAACAGTACCCGCGGTACTGTTCATGAATAGTATTTATTTTTTTTTTTGCACCCGAGGGAATAGTACTCTTCCTTTGATAAGGAAATAAATTGTATGAGTTTCACTCCTTAATAAGGGAATTGAATTTTACGAGTTTTACTCAGCTCACCTATTTAATAAAGGATTTTTATTTACTATCCCTTATTGTAAGGGGATATTAATTACGGGATTTATCCAACCCGGGTCCTTGTAGTACAGGACATTAATTTATTATCCCTTATATTACGGGGATATGGATTACGGGATTCATTCAGCCCGGGTCCTGATAATACAAGATACTTATCCCCTGTAGTCCGGGGATATGGATGACGGGATTCATTCAGCCCGGGTCCTTGTAATACAGGACACTCATTTACTATTCCCTTATAGTACGGGGATACGGATTAAGGAATTCACTCAGCCCGGGTCCTTATAATACATGACACTCATTTACTATCCCTTATAGTACGGGGATACGGATTACGGGATTCACTCAGCCCGGGTCCTTGTAATACATGACACTTATTTACTATCCCTTATAGTACGGGGATACTACACGTATAAACTAAAAGGAATTTTATTAAAGACCATCATTGCCTCAAGGCTTATTAAAAACAAAATAATACATGATGGAGCTACCCTCCATTTAAAATGATTAACTAAGATGCCCCCAATCTTTATTGTGAATGACTTGATAAAGCTAATTCCAGCCGTGAGACAATTTCTAGTCGGTATACTCATCTGAGTCATTCTCATGATATGTGCTGTCGCTCTGGCTGAAGAACGATTTCTTATATTTAATATTATTTTCATCCCTGGCGAGAGGGGCTGGCCTCTTCTTGTCCTCTCTTTCCTTCCGTGCACTCATGGTGTCTTCAGCGTTGATGTGTTTTTACGCTCTGACCAGCAACTCTATCATGCTGGTGGGAGGTTCTTTTGATAAGGAGAACAAGAATCTGGAGGTTTGGAGTCCTCCTATGAAAGCGGTCAAAGCTACCTTGTCGTCTGCCTCTTCTACCTGCAACATCTCTGCGTTGAATAGGGTGATGTATTCCCGAATCGACTCTTCCTTTTGTTGCTCCACGGTAAACAGGTAAGTAACCGGCCTCCTATGCCTCTGACCTGCAATAAAGTGGCTCACAAACTGCTTACTCAATTCTTCGAAGGTGTTGATGGTTCCTGGCTTCAACTTGTTGAACCAAACTCTCGCTGATCCCTTAAGTGTAGTGGGAAAAGCTTGGCACATGATTTCATCTGGCACAGCGTGTAAATGCATAAGAACTTGAAAGTTTTCCAGGTGATCGAGGGGATCTTTGGTCCCATCGAAGCTTTCGAACGAGGGCATCCTGAACTTGCTAGGTAATGGACATTTCATAACGGCGGGGCTGAAAGGCAGGTTGGTTTTTTGTACCAGGACATCTACGGCGGCAGGACCTTTCCCTTTCTTAGCTTGCATTACATCTTCCATTTTCCCCTTGAGATCCTTGATCTGCAAGTCGAGATGGGTAACTTTCTTCGTCTTTTCCTTAAGACAGAAGGCTATGCTTTTAGGAAGTTGGGAACTCCGTAGGAAAGATGGGTGAACCACCGCTTTATGTCGGGTTCCCACCGGGCTTTATTCCACTTCAGTCTCATTTTGGGGGGGATGATTATCCTTCTCTTCAAGATTCCCATTACCTCCGTTTGGACTTGAGAGATCTTTGTCCTGGAAAGTTTTGTTGAACCGGTGGAACAAGGTGTTGCAAGAGTGTTACATTTTACTGAATCAACTGGTTCATACCCTGACTCAGAGTTTGAACCTACAGTTCCAACGCTGCAAGCCGTGCCTGGTCGTTTGGGACGTCCAGCTTTTCACCCGACTCTACCATTTGACTAGATCCCTGCGACGGTGTTCCTTCGGTAACCATACCGGACTGCAAACGTATATACCCAACGAGTAATTAATTGATTCAAGGGAATCGTCGTTCCCACAGACGGCGCCAACTGTTGAGGCTGAAATTCGCGCAGTCCGATACGATACCGTTTTCCTGCAAGGAAGAGAGGAGAAGATCGATGAACCTTGACGGCACCGGTGTAGTGCCTGCCAAGAGCTCTCCGACGATCAAATTAGTCACGGAGGTCTAAAAAGAAGGTAGGGATTAATAATAGTTTTTACGTTGTCCCTTCTTTAATGGCTTGGTGCCCTATTTATGGCTGTTAATTGGAATCAAAATCGTTTCGCCGATATCGATGGTTGATCTTATTTTCCGCTTGTGCAAAATCATAGGAGATTTATTGCCAAATTTGTCGGGGATATGATTTAATCCTTTTGACTTCCTCCAGTTATAGTAGGATTATTCTTACCTGTTGAACCACGTCAAATTTGATTTCATTATCATTGATAATGAAATCTAATCAATTTTATCGAAGGTAGGGTAAGTTTATATTTTTCCCTATCAATGTTCTCTGAATTATATTATGTGCATGTTATTTTTTTATTTTTGTTGGGATACATAATTTCATTTATGCATATTTTTTTATTATGTGCATGTTATTTTTTATATTATTTTTGTTGGGGCGGGTACGGGGGCATAGTATTTCCTAACGGGGCGGAGCTGGATATGAAAATCTGACCCGTCGCGGGTCTGGGGGTGGGCATGGACTTGACAAAAATTAAAAAGGGCGGGCGGGATTCAAATATTGCGTCATTCCCAGGCTTTCCACATTTAAATAGTAGGAACTTAAGTTCCAAAAAGTGGGAGAAAAAAATTTGTTAGCGGGGCGGGTACGGGGGCATAGTATTTCCTAACGGGGCGGAGCTGGATATGAAAATCCGACCCGTCGCGGGTCTCGGGGTGGGCATGAACTTGACAAAAATTAAAAAGGGCGGGCGGGATTTAGAGAAACCCGCTCTAAACTCGCCCCGCTGCCATCCCTAGGCTTAAGTGCGTTTGAGTGATTTAAAATTAGAGAAAAGAAAAGATAGAGCGAGAAGGAGAGAAAGGACAGTGTTAAGCAGTATTTTTATAATTTCGAACATGCCCTCAATAATTAAAAAGAAAAATATATTATTCTACTCATATCCCTTCTATTTAAAATAATATAATAATAATTTAATTGTTATCATTTTTCTTGTTTTCTCCCTTTCTATGGTATCCAAATAAAAATATTATCATTTATTTGTATTGCTATCCTATGCTTTCTTTTTCTTTTCTCTCCTATGTATCCAAATGTATTGTTTGGATGAGGTTTTGTTAGAGAATGTTAATGTTTATTTGGTACATTGTGTAAATTTTGAAAGAATGTTTATTTGGTTTTTCTTGTTTTTGAGTTTAAATTCTGATATTTTTATTTTTAGTTTTTTTATTTCTTCTCTTCTAATATCTTTTGAATCGTCTACAAAAAGAAAGGATCCATCTAATTTTTGATGAAGTTGAACTCCTCTCTCCAGCGGCGAACAAAAATGGAGGGTTTGGCAGAGCTGGAGAGAAGACAAATCCGAATCCTCCAACGAATAACGGAACTAGAGCTTTCTCATTTGCCACAACGCTTCTCTGACTCACTCTATCTCTCTACACCCAACAGGAGCAGCTGCGACACCACTTCCACCTCCACCGCCACCGAAGCTCGCCTCTCCGCCATCCTTCGCGCCAATGGCGTTCGAGACTTCTCGTTCAAGCGAGTCCCTTCTGATTACTACGATCGCCCCCTCGAAGCCCGACGAGACATCCTCGGTGCCCCCTCTGTCGATCATCTCTGCAAAAGCATTGTCTTGGTATTTCCAGTCTTACCACTTTTCCACATCTATGTCTATACACAATATATATATATATATATATTATATTTATCTCGTTTGAAAATTTTCTTTAATTCGTAAATTTTACTGATTTGATCAGTGGCACTGTATTGTTAATTTTGATTTCCTAAATCCAATTTCACAGAAATGATGAGCCTTTATAGTTCAATTACAACCTCTTGTTCACTACCGGTTTGCAAGTCAAAATTAGTTGCGTAGTAAGGTTTAAAAGAGGTAGGATTTAGACTGTACATAGGGGTTTTTGTGCAGTGCAATGGTCAAAAGCTCGAACTGCAAGTTGAGTTTAGGTCACAGATTCAAGTTCAGCCACTTTGTTCAAAAGCTAGGTCTGTCTCTAGTCTACCATTACTGGAAACCCTCCTTTGTGGGACACCCGATAAAGTAAAGAAGCACATTTGGAGTGTCTACGAGGAGTTGTAAGTTGTAACGAAAGTTCTATAGGACTGTGAATATGTACTAAAACATATCCATAAAATGGATGTGGTTGAATGTAGAATTAATTGAGGCCAGAGTCAACAATTTTAAGTGATGATTCTTTGATCATGTGGAATGAAGTTGAATAAACACAGCAGTAAGGAGTAATGTGGGGCACTGTGAGTGCAGGAGGGAGACTAATTTATTTATTTATTTTTTTTATCAAGGTTGTGCCTTGTGAGAAAGACATATGACCTGTAGTATAGGAAATTCTATAGCTCTAGGCATAGTTAATCAGGAAAAATGTCCACGCAATTGAACCAAGTTCTTCATTGGGCAAAGATTGATTACTAGCAACAAAAATCATTTGAACACATACGTCAGCAAGTTATTAAGGTTAGATGTACCACGTGGCTTTGTCAAAAACTGAACGTGGATTTGAAGAATCAATTGAAGCACATTTTTCCTTGGGTTACCAAACTGATGACTGTATATATGTGCAGTAGTGCTATTTATTATCTAAGTTATGTTTAGTCGGCTTTGCTGAGTCCTAGTATTAATGTACCTGGCCTAGTAGTCATTTTGATAAAAAGAAAATAGAAAATATGGTTTTGAAAAGTTAGGGCCCATCTTATTTGGACACAATAGATTCCTCACTCACAGATGTGCGAGCACTCGGGGACATGCATATATTTTTAAATTGATGATGATGGTGAGGAGCTCTGTTCTTACAAACTTATTGAAGTTCGATAACATCTGACTCTTTTATCTGTCTCTGGCATCAGAAGTTTATGAAACATTAAAGAATAGTTACTTTAGTTTGTTGACTCCTTAACCAAGGTTACTTTTATTCCATGCAGGTCAATACTCAAGCCCCATCCAATATAACTGATTGTAGTGATCGCAATAATTCAAAGTATTATGTCGTCGTTGTTCAGGTGCCTTGGTACTTCTTCATTTATAAACAATCTGAATCTAACCTGTCGCTCAAAATATATTAGTGTGGGACATTTCCTTTATTGCAGTATACTGCTCGGTTTAGTGCAGAGACAGTGAAGAACTTTCTGTATGAGCTCAACAATGGGAAGATACCAAAAAAGAAATTTAACTGTAAGTTTATTGCCTTCTAAAGTTGAAATGCAAGTTAATGTTTTTAAAAATAGAGGTTTGTTATTCAAGTTACCAATGGATGGGAGTGCTTCTGCATCTTTTCAAATATGCTTTCAGATATTCTAAAAATCTGGACTAAACTGGCCATTTTAATTAAAAGATTCTGGAATTACACTTTAAGATGTGTATGGTTACAAAATGGACCCACAGGGTCAGGCTGAAATGAGCTCAACTGAAAATAGATCCCTATGCCAAGTACAAATCTCTTCCCTCATTCTTTCCCCAAGTTCAGCTTGTTGTCTGGAATCAGCTGCGGGAGTTTGAAGTTGCCAGTGATCTAACAGAATGATGATAATAAGTGTATATTGGTTTTGCCATTTATGTATTTGACCTAATTAATATTGTAGCTTCAAGCCTTAAAAGTTGGAAGTTTAGGCTACAATAACATTAGATTTCAGAAAACAACATAGGAGATGTTATAGTATGTGGTTAGTCTTCTCTTGTGTATATGTATACTTTCTGGATTTAGTTTTTTCTGACTGTCTTCATGGGCTGCAATTCCTTGCTTATTTAGTTATTTACCTGTTGTAATTTCTAATTTCCTAAGAAAAAGATAAGTGAACTGAAAAATAGGAAAAACAGAGGAAGATATGAATCATTAATTGTTGGAGAAATCATCAGTAATGGATTTATGTTCACCCTAGGCAGTTTGATCTCATTTAGTTGGGTCTAAAGCAGGTGAGTCTAAATGCAAACACTTGGCCCATTTTTTTAGGACCATTGAGAACTAATGTATCAGCAAGTTTTCATTCATTTTAAAATAATAATATATTTAAAAAGTACAACTAATTGATAATGTTTATTGGTTGGTAAAGTTATCGAATATCAACTTGAGAAGTTATCATTTTTCACGTTGGCATTTTTAGTTGCCTAATTCAGGCCTTCATGATTAGTTTGAATTTATTTTACTTAAAACCGGCTAGCTCATCTTCAAAAAGGTTCTTCACTAGTCACCCCCAATAATTGGGGAACAGGACCCCTCTCCCTAGGGTGCCTATATAGCGAAAGGTTATAGCAAGGCTGAAAACTAAGCGGAGTCATAGAGCTGGCTGACTACACCTGATGGTAATCTTGTTCAAGTTACAAAATATTAAACCTATAGTTGGATGTAACCAATCAAAAGCAGAAAAAAGGTTGGATGAAAGCTCAGATTAGCTATTTATTGGTGTTTCTTTTTCTAGTGCTGCTAGCATATGTGCCAAAAAAAAAAAGAAAAAAAAAAAAAAAAGAAAAAAAGAAAAAAAAAAGTTGTTTTGCTGCAATACTGGCTTTCTTAATCATTGTTGATTTTGTTCTTACAGTGCGGCTTGCTCCTGAGGAGACATCACTGAAGTTGACGGGTTATGAACGCAATGGGGTTACATGTATTGGCATGAAGACAGACATTCCGGTAATTGCTTATTCTGCTTTTAGGAACTATTTTGACATCTAGGGGGAAATGAAAATATTTTATCTTTTACATAGCACTTGAAACTAAAGAAAGGGTAAGTGTTAAATTGGAAGTTTGGAGAAAAACTTTAGAATTAAAAGGCTTAAGATTAGTAGGAATAAAACTAATATATGGAATGTAACTTTATTAAATCTAAAAATACAAATAAGGATGCAGGGAAGATTGAGAATCAATATATACTAAAAAATGAATATTACTGGTTTTTACGCTCAATTATTCATAATGAAGGAGAAACTGGAGATGATGTTAATTATGGAATCGAGGCAAACTGGGTTTAATGGAGGAATGTATCTAGTATATTGCATGACCAACTTAAACTTTCGTCTAAGATTGAAAGGGAAGTTCTATAAAATAACTATTAGACCATTCATTTTTTTATGGGACAAAATGTTGGGCAACTGAAAACAAGATATCCATGTAACAAAAATGTGAATTTTGAGGTGGATGTGGCAAAGACAAGAAAGAACTAGAAATGAACAGATACGTGAGATGGTTTAAGTATCACCCATTAGAAAATAAAATGAGAGAAAATGGATTTAAATAGTTTGGACATGTAAAGAAGACCACTCAGTGCACCACTTAGGAAGAGTGACGTGGTTCACATTGAAGGTAATGTTAGGGGAAGTGGAAGACCAACATTAACATGGGTAGAGTTAATAAGAAAATATATGATAAATAGGATAGAGTAGAATGGAAAAATAGGATTCATGTAATTGGCCCCATGTAGTTGAGAAAAGGCTTTGTTTAGTTGAGTACGTAACACTTGAAAACAAGTCCATATTGTCTTGCTCCTACTTTTGTTGTATGTTGGCCATTATCATTTCTTGAAACTTTGACTTTGCTGTGCTCATGCACTCATAGTAATCAATACAAAGATCATTTGAATGGTTAGGACTGATGGAAATTGTAAATAGAGTGGAACTTTTGTCTAAAACAATTTGTTCATTTGCTCTTTTGAAATACTTTTTCTGGGGTAGATTACTCTGATTTGCTTACATAGATCTCCTCTTGTTTGTTAAAATACATAAATCTCCTTGTCAGAGTTCGATACCTTGGAATTGCTAAAATTACTTTTGCTCTAATTCTTTGAGAATTTTTTCATGAAAAATTCTATTATTTTTTATTTAGAAAAGTCAAATCTATTATATATAAAGACAGAAATCGAAAAAACAAAGAGCTGATGCTCTGGTTCACTGAGCTGGTGTCCCCATGACTCTTTATTTATTTATTTTCATGATTTTATCCCAATTTCTCTCATTTCCATACTTCTCCTTATTTATTTACTTTCATGATTTTCCAGGCGCCTCTCTTTCAACCCTTCCATTTTTGTTTCTTTTTCTGGCGCATTGGTGGACAATTTCTTTTAATCGCTTCACTTTTCATTATTTATTTTCTTAAGTGAATTAGACATCTCTCGTCTCTGTTCAGTTTCAGGATATATGCTGAACACATTATCTTTCTTTTTTTCTCTTCTTTTCTTTTTTAATTTTATATATGAGTCAACCCTTCTCTAGGTCTTTATATTTCCATATTACGCTCTAAAGCTCAAATATTATTTCATTGCCACCAATTTTTATATTTTTTCTTTTTTTGTCCACTTAACTTTTATAACTTTATAATGGCACCCAGATTCCCACTTTTGGTATTTTACTTGACCTACTCCTGAAAACCTTGATAAATAAACGAATATAGGATAGATACGGACACACTATGACATGGATAAGCCGATACGTGAAATTCTAAAAAAGTAGGACACAGAAAGGATAATATAAATATAAATATACATTTATATATCTATTGAGTAAGACAATTATAGAACTTTAATTACTTTATAATTTATATACTAAAGTTACATAAGTTAGAAGGTGACGTTATTCCAATATAAAAAATAATATATTTATTGTATTATGTGTGATATTACTATCCTATCGTGCCATTGCAGCAAAAACATAGTTGAGGGGTATTTTTGTAGTTCCGGGGGTTTCTTGCAATACCCCAGTAGTTGAGGGGGGTTTATTGCATTTTACCCTTTTATTATTTAAGCAGAAAGCGCAAATTAAGAATTCACTCGTTATAAGAAACAGCCCCAAAGCATTTAATAACTAACTCCCTTATCCTTTTCCTTCTAAACTGTCTCAATCATGTTACCTTGCACAAAATATGCCCACACTGGCAGTATGTCCTACCATGAAAGGGCAGATATGACGTGTATGTAGGACTGTTGGAAATCTGAAACTTTTGAATTTGGAATAATGATTATTCTCATCTCTCAAAGTTATTGAGTTAAATATTTTTAAAAGCACAAAGACCTTGTATGTGTGCTAAAGTATTTTAAATTTTGTGAATTTGGAAAAGGACTCATTTTCATTTTGGCAATGTGACCCCATCATTAATTGAAGTAAATAAGCATCATTTCTTTGGTGTTCCTTCCTGTGAAAGGTGAGTACATATATAATTACATAAACAAGTCAAAAATCTTTTAGGCAACTATATTGATTAGGTAAATACTCACACACTTACTCACAAATGCCCACTATGGGGCTCGAACCCCTCACCTCCCCTTCGAGGGACGAGAGGTTATACCAGCTTGAAATACTGAGAGAGGTTGAGGGACAAATTAAAATTTAATGGTTCTATCTTTTGTGATAGTTCGAGATCAATAATGTACTAGAACCGTGCCATTAATATTTAAAAGTAATTAATTGGGATTGAAGACCTAGGTACAATTCTTCATATTTCTTAAATTAATATTAGTATGGTATCTGGAATTATCCAAAATGATTTTATCTAAAGATCAGGGGAGTGAGGCACACATTATATGTGAAAAGGAATTACATATAAATGCATGCGTGGTGTTAAATATATATATATATATAATATATCAGGGTATGATTATGTTTAACATTTTTCTATAGTATCATTAACGAGATATAGTGTGGATTGATACCAGGTGATCTTGGATGAGGCTATTGTGAAGCTTAATTCTGTTTTCTTCTGGTTGGGAGGCGGAGAGATTGATTTGAAGCTGGGGATCAGGACATCTGAATTCATCAACTTCGTGAAACCTTTCATTGTCAATTGCAGTGGTACTTGATTACCCAGAATTAACTGTTATACAATCAATTATAGAGTGCAGAACCTGACAGGACTGCCTGTTTTGCGACTCATCAATCCTACAATGCTACAAATGCCATTATCAGCCTGCTCCTGTTCAGGATCTAGTTTGGGACATTAGTAATCTTTGCAGCATGATTTTTGCTTTACAGATTCTTTGTTCTTATTGAAAGAAAATGACACTTGTAGTTTAATACTCCTTTTCTTTTGGTGTTTCCAGTTAGTGACTTGGCTGGAAAATAGAATTGTGACAATTTTTTGATTGTTATGGAGAATAGCTAGAAAATAGAATTGTGACAATTTTTTTTGATTGTTATGGAGAATTCCAATTTACCTAGGGCCTACACAGTACATTGCGATATTATATAGGTCACGTTGTCAATAAACTAAAGAAAATGATTTAGAGGTGAGCATTCTGTGTTATACAAAATAATCTTGAGGCAGCTTTGGATTCTCAAACCTTCAGTTGAAACCATTTAGGGTATTTGATGTAAAATGTAGGCCATTTTCTGTTGACTTTTGAAATATATTGCCACTTTGAGGCAGCTTTGGATTCTCAAAGCTTCAGTTGAAACCATTTCTAGGGTGTTTGATGTAAAAATGTAGTCCATGTTCTGTTGACTTGTGAAATATATTTGTCACACCCCAAATTTTAACGCAAAGACTCTCTCTTGTATGTAAAATCTGATGTATAACTTCCACCAATTTTCCACATACATCCATCATAAAATATAACTATAATGAATTCCATCATCCAATTTATTAACACGAGTGTCTGACAAACATAAATCCAATTCATAAATAGAGGTGAAAGTCCCTCTAACACAACAAAACATCTATTACCACTGAAACAACTCGATAAAGTTTCATAAAACATTAACTTTTATTACAATAATCATAATAAAGGAAAACCGAGCTAAAATCCGACTTTGTCATGCGTCTCCATCACGTTCCCACTCTACGAGCACCTGAAATGTGATAAATGGGTGAGCTCACAAGCTCAGCAAGAAATACTAAACACAATCATTGTTCAGCTAACCTTACTTTGTATACCCATATATATAAGCAACTCAATAAATGCATTAATTAATTATGCATAACCCAGTTAATTATAAACTTAATAAATAACCATTATTTATTTTTAATAAATCCGCATATCTCACATGAGCCCCGGGCTCACATCCAATAAAGTGGTGTGAATCGTATAGTCCCTGACTACCGAAAACACACGTGTGGCTGGATTGTACGTCTATTCCCTAGATAATCCCTGGTCACGTCCACACAATAAGGACTCATTAGACCCATGGCCATAATAATAGGGTAATGCACTCCCAATTAGGCAGGTCTCTGACCATACCCAAAAGTCATCATAGGGTCAGTCCCTCACTACCCCCGACTAATCTGAACTCATCCATTAATTGCTAATTATAGTGAATTATGAAATACATTATTAATTAATAATTAAATTAATAATTAATACACACAAATACACTTTTAATTTAAAAACAGAACTCTAAAGACCCAACTAGTGAGAGTACAAAATTTCTGGATAAAGCCTAACATTAAATATAAGACCCTGCAAAATTTCAGAATCTAACTCCTAATAGTTTTTTCCGTACTCTCCCTTTTAGTGCCGAAAATAATACTTTTTCAGGTTTTAATTTCGTAAAACCATCAAACAATCTGTATTTCAGCACAACTAAGTTCAGTGCACTTAGAACTAATATTTTGGAAATTTCCTAAGTTATTGGGATAGCAATACTATTTTTCCTAATTTTCTTTAGTTTAAAATCAATTAAAACAGTAATAATTAAATAAAAAGAAAATTATTTTATATAGCACAAAGAACCAATCTGTTTCAAATGTCCAGTTTAAACCCACGTCATTCACTAACAAATTAACATACAATCTGACCCATCTATGTCCAATCAAATCATTGTTTAGTAAACATATGTATTACATATACCATTGTGTACCAAGTAACCAACACCTCCACATGGTTAACACGAATCAATGAATACATATTATGAATACATATTTTAAAATAACATGTATATATATAACAAAAAATTCTATAATTATATATATATATAATTCTATAATTCAATTTTAAAACATGTATTCCTTAATTTAGTTATTTTATTTCCTGATAGATGACATATATATATGTCATCTATCAGGAAATAAAATAACTAAATTAAGGAATACATGTTTTAAAATTGATGTTTTCAAATAATACCCATGTGCCAATCTAAGATTAATCATCGTTAAAATGAACTCTAATAACTCAGCAGATGACACTAAATTAATATACATCAATCTTGACAAATCTAAACTAAATTTATTTTCGATAAATTCATATGATATAAAACTTTAAATAATATTCTTATCAAGTCACAAATATAATATAAGATTACAAAGCAAGATTAACTTGTCTGAGTACGCAACTCTTTCTTTCCTATGTTAAGATTGGATCACCGTCCCTTCTCCCGGCTACTGCAGAAGGTAAGAAGTATCGATAATTTCTGTTTCTCTCTTTCTCCCTTGTTTTATTTCTTCCTTTTACGCAATAGGAAAAAATAAAATAAAATAACATATTATCTCTAATATTCCTTAAAAAGTCAACTAAATAATAAATATTCTTAATAAAAAAAAATACTGATATTACAATATTGCTGCCAGAAAACACGATGGACACCATGTTTGCCTTGGTGCCCAGCATATCTACCACATTATCATGCCATCCTCTGTTTCCATCATTTTCCCAGAGAGCTCATATACGCCAGGAGCACAGAAACAGAAAGATAAGCTCAATTCATATCAATTACGTATGGGTGTTGCTTATGCTTAGCATGATTTTGTACAAGTTTTGTTACTTGGATGCATTTTTTGCGCCACTCCGTGAACGGTCAACGCATTTGTTTACATTGACACATTGAAATTTCAAATATCATATTTAGCCTGAGTATTTAATTCAGTTAATTCACAACATATCAGGCTTGTAAATCGACAAAAATGATCATCATCGACAAAAATGATCCTCATCATTAAGTCATGGATATGGGGACACGCATAACCAACCATACTCTCATCTCAATCCACTAGACCTCTCTCTGTAATCCCCTCTCAACCACCACCACACCCACACACCACCATAACCACCAAAGAAAAAAAAAAGTCATGGCCAACCCAAATACATCGTCTCACGGTCGGTCACGGAGCAAGAGGTCCAGAGCGGCTTCGGCTACAAAAAGCCGGACTTCCTCTCCGGGATTCGATACCCTAATCACCGGGAAACCAAAGACGAATACTAATAGTAACATTGCAGATAAGAGAGAGCGCTTGTCGAGATCGTCGGCGTTTACAGGGGACAAACAGATCCTCGTTGTTGTCGACGTCACAGTCAGTGGCGCGTTGATGCACACGATGCCAATAGAACTTTACAATGGCTAACTGGACTACAACCTCAGAACGATGTCATCATTAAGGACCCTGCTCTTGATCAAAATGTCAACGTCCCTGATGTGATGGTTTGACTTCACCGAGACTGAATCGACGTCGAGGAGTTCTAGAGAGAGTTGGGAGGTGAATCAGAGAGGTCGATGAGTTAGGTCCCACCATCTACACCTCTCCGACCTCATCGACCAACTGAGATAAATCCTTTGATCGTAGGTGGGTTTGGTTCAAGAGGGCCATGGTGGGACTCGAGATCCAACAGAGTAAGAGTTGGAGCAGTGAAGATCAGAGTGGAAGATTGGTGAGTTGAAGTGAGTTGTCTTCTAATGTTTCGGCGTCGAAGCCTTCGAAGTGTGAGTTGACAGTGACGGATGAGAGGGGGTGGTGAGGATAGGGAGGGTGTATAATTTTTGGAGAGAGTAAATGGGAAATTAAGGTTATTTTGGCCCTTCAAATTTAGTTTAAAGAGTTATATTGATAATTTTACACTTTCAATGTATTTGTTGGCCAAGTCAAAAGGTTAAACGATCATTGATCATTTTTCTCGTGTGCCAGAGGTCTAGAGGGGGTGTGTATGTAAAAAAGTGCTTTAGAGGGGGTGTGTATGTAAAAAAGTGCTTTGATCATCCGCTTAGTGGCGTTGATCGAAACCTCGGGGTATCAGTGCAATTTATCCTTTTGTTTTTTGTTAATTTACCAGCAAAAAAACAAGGTACAAGGGAAATCCAATGAAGTTTGCTTGCAAATGCACCAGTAGCATTGTGAAACCCCAATACTAATGTTGCTTAAACCAGGAACTTGTGGCCGCAAAGTAATCCTCAGACTAACCACCATGATGCTGCGCTTATATGTCACATTATTAGATAACCTAAACTAAAATGCCAATGAAGGTCACGCAGTAAAATAACAATACAGATTAATGCATAAACTAGTCAAATCTCAATAACATTGGACCCATTCATAAAAGTTCAATCCTTAGGTTCCAATGGATGAAAACCACCCATCGAGTCGTACAGAGCTTCAAAATGCTACCAATGAGATGAATTTTGTGTGCGCCTGCATGAATTCACATTCATCAAGGAAAAAAGAAAAATAGAGGTACCATACGGCATGTAAGATTTGAATCCACAATGAAGAGGGCAAACTAATCACACAAGGACTTGTACAAGAATAAATTACTCATATCGATTGCACAACCACCTTGGAGAAACTTTCGACAAAGAAAAAATGCTAAAAAAAGGGAAAACTATAGAAGCACAAATCACAAGATTGTTCAAACTGAGACCTCTTGACAGTATATGATGACATATGATGACCATATAGTTTCAGTACATAGTTAATATCAAACAACACAATAAATGACATTAATCATCAATTATTATTAAAACATAAAGCAGGAGAATCAGAAATTGGAAAGGTTCTTAGAATGCTATATACAAAATACTACTGTACATGTTTTGACTGGCAAGGTCTTCATAGAATATGTACAAATAAGAAATGACAGCCAATATTGGGACGATATGGTGAAAATAAATATAGTACTGTTAAAGAAACAATGCAATGCCTGAATTTGCATATGCTACGCTAGAATCTGGTTCCCAAATGTGTTCTCTCCACTGTAAGTAACATAAAGAAACCCGTCTTCATCCTTCTTCTCTTCATATATGGCAGACATAATTCCCCCTAGAACGCCAAATAGAACACCATCTTAGAATCCCATCATTAGTTAAAAAACCAACAGCTTCAAGTAACAACATATACAATTATCACCTGTAGGCGGCAGCACATTGTCCACAAATATGAAAATTGCTTTCTCTGCACTGAGTTTTATCCTTTTCCGTATCACGTAGACAAATTGTCCCACAGTCAAGTCAGCCGGGACAAGGTACCTGAAATTTTCATACTCAAATTATACAGCAGCTCACTATAATCAAACATCAATTACGAAATTGAAATTACCAAATATTCATCAGCACCGATCCAGACTGATTGAAGGGACCAAGTTTTAATATTGATTCAACAAATAACCACATCTCACCTAAGAGTTAAAAAAAAAAAAAAACCTACCGGTAGATGCCATGCTTCTTATACCAAGCCATACTTCCAATTTTTTCCCCCCAATAAGTCATACTTGCGTTTTTACTATAAAGTCCCTAGATATGATCAATACACACACACATATGTAGAGAGAGAGAGAGAGGCGCATGTTCTCCAATTTGCACCACATTATAACTGAGCTGCATATGATTTTAGCAGTAATGTTAGTGGCATTACTTTTTGTGATGTTATCAAAGGAATATTAACAGGCTTGTGGCCTAGCGGTACAAGGCTCCTACTTCCCAAAGGGAGGTCAGGGTTCGAACCTCAGTGGAGACCGTGTGTGTGAATCCCAACTAGGAAAAAAAAAAAATTGTTATCAAAGGAATAAAAGATATTTTTTTATAAGGGCACAAAAAGGCAAAACTTCTGGTATTACAGAATTATCATGATACCAAGGTCAAAAGCTGGATATAGAAAGAATCAAAGTACACTGACTCACTGATAGTAACTTATGAAAAAAAAAAAAACTGATAGTAATAACTTGCACTTTCTTGGTTTATGGAAGATATAACAAACATACTTTATTCTTAAGTTAACATGGACTACTATTCTTCATTGTTTTTTGAAATGAAATATGAATATATATGTATATATGGTGGAAGCCAATAATATAGAAGGGCAAAATTAAGTTGCTTTTATTAGATTTAAACATTCATCTTTTGGTTGTCATTGCATGACATTAATCAACAGCCACTCCTGATGGACTCTTCCATTTCATAAAATGGAGAAAAAGAGACCACCTAATGCTAATATACATACACTGACTAATTCTGACTAAAAACTTAAATGATTTCTCATTCCCTGTAATATAACCAAATCAAGATAACGCAATGAAGAGGGGAAATAATACCATCCAGAACCATTATTAGTGCAGAACAACACTTACTTTTTCTTATCTATGTTGGGAATATCACTTCTCTCTGCTTTCTCGACTATCACCTTCAAATCATAAAAGCAGTTCTTTTAGTACGACTAGAAAAGCAAAGGTATATAAGAAAAAACATAGGAAGCAAATTTATAGTGATGGTGTCGTCAATTTAAGACAATAAGTATAGCAGAAGAATACAAAACAGGCCTCCTTGATCAAACTAAAAAAACAACAATTAGAGGAACTTCCATCAACAGTTGCCCACATTTTAAATTATCTTGACACCGGGTGAAATTGTATTGAAGATTGACAAGAGAGTAATGGAAAAATAACCAAAACCAAATATGGACCTCTGTACTAATAGGTCATATTAGCTAGATGCTACTGAAACAATAACACAGACTTGACAAGCCAGATCATCATGTAGTCCTACTTCCTATACAATTCTTCTTAAGCAAAATGATAGTAATAGAAAGGGCCATGGTTTTATATTTTCACAAAAGCTTCCACCAAATAGTGTCATTTCAGTAGTGATTGAACTTTAAACGAATGTTGATGTTTCAAACCATCAGCATAGTGCTTTAGTTTTTTATATTTATAAGAGTCAGAACTTTAAAATACTTTGACAGGATAGTCTTACGGCCCTTACCACTAAGGTCATTAGTGGTTAGATCTCTCCCTCTCCGCAGTCCTTAGTATCTTTTTCCTTTATATATTTATGAACAATTATCTCCATCTAAGCCTTGGTTTATACACAGACACACACACACACACACACAAATATTCTGAAAGTTTTATTCCAATATATCTCCTTAATTATTCATCCCAACCAATTCTTTTTCCTTAGGATATTACTCATCCTTCCATTCATTTTCCCTACAAGATCCATTTTATTAAATTGTCATTAACAATATTTCTTCAATGCATACTGCTCATGACACCTACACTCACCAATCCAACACATTACAGAGTGCATGTATTGCATACCCGAAATACCCTATAAGAGGACCACAAGGTTTTAAATATGAGACAGATGACTCATTATCAACAATACTCAACAAAGCCTTCTCCAATGTACTTGAAGAAACAAATAGGCCAACTCTAAAAATGACACGAACACCTATGTATCATCAAGAATCCCATATATGGTATGATGTGACACCATATTGTAAATCCTCAAACAGCTCAAACTTAATTTGGTTTAAAATACATGCAAATTCACATCCTAAGCCAATTGAATTTAAAACATCATCAGATCTCATTCACACGGTGAAATGCTACAATCACAGACCAAAGAGGACATGATGTTTACTCTTGAATCATTAAACAAACAAAATTAACTATTGTCAACGTCGTGCACCAAGTTAAATGCTGTTCAAGCAAACCCCAAAACTGAACACATGTTCAAAACTCAAAAACTACTACAAAAAAGTAGTTCAACTGACTAATAGAGACAGCATATTTTAAAGACAACATGTTTTATAGGGATCAATTTGTAAGATAATTGAATGATACATGATTGAATTTCAAAATAATGTTTAATTCTCACCGGAATCCTATCTGGGTATTTTTCCCTAATCCGAGCAGCCTCAGCACGTCTCTTCTCTGAACAAGAAAGACATCACAAACTCAATAACTCAAACTATCTCTACCAATCCACATAGAAACAACTAAAAAATATGAGAATTACACAGTTCAATCACACAAATAACACTGCCTACCAAGATCGTGCTCTTGCTTGAAGCTACTTTTCGCCATTTACCTGGAATCACAGTTCAAAAATGAAGTCATCAATGACATGTTTAAAAACTTAATAATAGATTCTTATTCAAAATGTTGCGTGCATAAATTTTCTAAAAATCCCAACACAAGAATTACACAACCATAACCCTAAATTTGTGGCTTGAAAGTGCAAAGAATTTCATAAAGATTCATGCTTGATTACAATGATCAGAAACCCATCTTGACATGAGACCTAAAATCAAGAAAAATAAATAAATAAATCTAACTATATGTCTTACTAGGTCTAGTTTCCGGGCAAAAAAAAACACTAAAACCCAGGATCTATATAAATAAAGCGATAATATTTGAATTAGCTGCAAAGTAGAACATCAATTAAAATCCAAAAACAAAAGAGAAATTTCAGAGCACGAACCTTTTTCAAACAAGAATCGCAAATCTATAGAAAAGAAGAAGAAGGACAGCTTTCTGATGCCGAACTCTGGAAGATACTGCTGTTTGATTGAAGATAAATAACATATAAATATAGCGGCTTGGTTTGTTTTCAACTATTTATATCCAATTTTTAATCATTATCCAAATTAGTTGGTATACAAATACTACGTATATATATCTACTTAATTGGTATAAAAAAGGAAAAGCTATCCTATTGTCGCTCGTAGATGTAACTAAACGTGGGGTGCAAGCGTGGGATTGGGATCAATTATTTATTAAATTTTCTTTAAAAATAAAATATGAATATGGTAAAAATACATAAAAATAAAAATATATTACGGTATATATTTATAATAATAATTTTTTTTGCTTATTTCATTCAAACAATTATGAATACAATCGCTAATTTGGAATTTAGAATTAGTTACATCAAATATATATATATATATATATATATATATATATATATATATATATATATAATAAAAAAACTTTTGTTGCTAATTTAGATTTTAGAATTATATATTTTGGTATTTTTATTTTCAATTTTCTATATTATTTTTCAATTAACTTATAATGTATTTTAGTTTGAATATAATCTTATATATTTTAAAATAATTATAAAATCACTTTGTAGTATTTAAAACTTAAAAGTGCCTAAAATAAAATATTTATGTTACTCAAGAATTGACTCTAGAGGGGGTGAACAGAGTCAATGATCAATTTTTACAATTTATAGAAATACAATTTCTAATCAACAATTTAATCAATTATGGAATAATCAAGATATGAAAGTAAACAATGTATAGCATAATTGTAAAATAAATAAGGGAAGAGAAATTGTAAACAATGACACAACGATTTTAGCGAGGGAAACTCCTACTCCTCGGCTCAAGACCCCTCTTGAAACTTTCCAATTCACTATGGCTTTTCATTACGGGCGAAGAGCAAACATTTACATGAAGTAATACCTTATTTATTTTTCTTCCTAATAAAACAACTTTTTCTTAGTCTTCCTTTGGGTCACACTAACCTAGTCGGTCAACCGTAGCAAGAACGGTGAAGTACAAGAGATCTCTCAAAGATTGATGTACAAGTGTAAGCTTACAGGACTGGAGTAGTAAATGAATTAAATGAAGCTCAAGTCTAGGATGATATGAATGAGAGAAGATGATGTAAGTGAAGAACAAAAATTCTTATGAACTCAATATAATCTATCAAGTGTAGAGTAGAGCAAAAGCTCTTTGAGGATTAGAACTAGAGCAAAAGAACTTTGAATCCTTAGTTGAATCTTTCAAGTATAGTATATGAACGAATGAGAAAGATGAAGAGAATATGTGAGAGCAAAAGCTCTCTTTAATGCCTAATAACGTTTCTCAATATTGGCTCTATTATATTCAGACTTTTTATGGTCTATTTATAGAGAATGCAAGCTTAAAAGAGCTGTTAGAAATGAGGCACACAAGGCTCGAGGAGAATAGAGCTATTGTAGTTTGAAATTTGTAGTTCGATAGGAACCGGTCGACGTCTTTACACAAACCGGTTGACGTGTGTAAAAACCGGTTGACGTGAAGTGTGTAGGAAACGTTTAAGTAAATGTCTTTATAGTATTTATATGTCTATTTACTTTAAGTTTATAGTGTAAATATGAAAGTACCCCCTATTTAGATTTACTAAAAAAATATAAGAAAATTGAAATCCAACTAAATCAAAATGTGAAAATTCAGTTTTAGTACAAATTGGGGTTCCCGACAGTTTTGGTAAAACTTGATCCTCCGTATAGGCTAATGTAGAATTGATGAAAAAAATCCCATAAAATCAGTTTAGGTTATTTGAAGTGTAAGGAATAAGTACCGAAAAAAATTATTTTGAAATAATCATTATTTCAAAAATTCATTTTTCACACTTAGCCATTTTTCATACTTAGGCAAAAACACAATTTTTTATGAGGTGCATACAAGGGTCTTAAAGTCCATTACCAAGTCACGGTAATAAAGGCTTCATATGCCTTAATTGTTGACCAATAAGAATCATGTGATTGATGTGCATGATCTTAACATTTCTAGCACAAGTGATGAGTTCTTTCAAAACTTAAGTAAGCTTGAACTAACTTATTCTTTAGCAATGACTTCATGAACAAATATATATATATATATATATATATATATATATATATATATATATATATATATGTCTGATAAAGTGCATAGTCTATTACTAATGGATATATGAACATATAAATGATGATATGATATGCATGGTCCTAGCATTCTAGCACAAGTGTTAAGTCCTTTCAAAGTTTAAGCAAGCTTAAACTAACTCATTCTTTAGCCATGACTTCATACGTCAACTATATATGTGAATGAAGTACATAGTCTATTGCTAATGGATATAGGAACATATGAATAATAATGATGATATGCATGATCCTATAGACATAAGTTTCAAATGGATTCATAAATACCTTGACATTGAATCCTAAATACTCACCAATCTATCTACCCATTTCTTTATGTTTTGGCCATAATCATTTATGATTCGAGGTATTCTTGTTTCCTTACTTCTTTGAGTTGCTTGCTTGTTCATTATTGTCGAAGTTATCCTTTGGATGAACTTTGATTTTGGTTCCTTGCAACTTCAATTCTTCTTTGTATCCATTTCTTTCATTGATGTGATATTGAATAATAGAATACTTGGACTGATCTTTATAGCTTCATTGATGTCATTATTTGAATGCAAAGAATCTTTATAACACTCAATGTAAACATTACTCCTTAAACATCATTAATAGTTTGTTATTATCAAAACAACTAGATTGTCATTGGATGAAATCCTTTAGGACCTTAAGGTCAACAATTTAAACTTTAAAGGACTTCTAATCATATGATCTAGAGATATCTCATCTATCTCCCAAATAAATAGTGAAAATTTAAGTCTCCAGGGTGACCATGCTTTACAAAGTGGACTTTTAATTTGAAAAGAGGGAATTTTATCACTAGAGAGCATCAAGTAGGACTCTTCTCCTCCAATAGGTTGCCGAAAAAAAATTTCTGAAGATATGTTGGTTTGCAAATAAAGTAATTTTCTCTCTAATACCCGGAGTCACTTTGAAAGTCGAAAAAATATCATTATTTCAAATAATTTAAATATATAAATATGTAATTTTAAAATATTTTATAAATTCATCGCATTACTCTTTTATTTTTATTTAATATTGGGATACGATAATAAAAAATAAAAAATAAAAATGACTATTGTAATAAATATAAACGAATAATATTTACTTCTACTGTATTTTTCACAACAATTTTTCATTAGCATTAATCTAGATATTCGTACACTCTTTTACTTTGATTTAATATTGGGTTACGACCAAAAAAAGAAAAAAGAAAAAGGAAAAAAAGAAGAAGAAGTACAAATATAATAACTGTTGTGATATATATAAAGAAATAATATGTATACGTAAATGTTACTGTATTTTTCACAATATTACTATTGGATATATATATTGTTGCCCAAGTATTGACTCTAGAGGGGGGGGTGAATAAAGTCAATGATAAACAATGGATAATTTTTGCAATATAGAAAAGCAATTTCAAGCAAAGTACTTAACACAATTGTGCAATTATAAAGATATGAAATAAGCAATTAAATAGCACAATTATAAGAGAGATAAGGGAAGAGAAATTGCAAACATTGACTCGGTGATTTTAGCGAGGTTCGGAAACTCCTACTCCTCGGCTCAAGACTCCTCTTGAGACTTCCTAATCCACTATGGCTTCTCCTTACGGGTGGAGAGCAAACCTTTACATGAAGCAAGACCTTGCTTCTTTTCCTTGCTAAGAGAACAACCTTCTCTTAGTCTTCCTTTGGGTTACACCAACCCTTACAATAGATAGTAGCAAGAACAATGAAGTACAATAGATCTCTCAAAGATAGTAGTACAATTTTCAGCTCACAACTAGAGTATTGATGAATATAAATGAAGCTCAAACTCTATGAATGAAATGAATGAGAGGAGATGATATAAGTGAAGAATGTAAGCTCTTATAATCTCTCAAGTGTATAATAGAGCAAAAACTCTATGAAGATTAAAGCAAGAGTAAAAGCCCTTTGAGTGCTTAATTAAATCTCTCAAGATAGAATAAGAGTGAATGAGAGAGATGAAGAGAAGATTTGAGAATAAAAGCTCTCTTTAATGCAATGTGAAGGCTTTTAAATGATGTCTCTTAGTTATTAAGACATTCTCCACTCTATTTATAGAGTTTCCAAGCTTAATATAGCTGTTGGGAGTGGAATGCATGAGGGTCGAGAAGAAAATAGCGTTGCAGTTTGAAATCTGCAGATCTGCGACCAAACCGGTCGACATGTGGCTAAACCGGTTGACATCTTGGCTTGAACTGGTTGATGTGTATTGCAAACCAGTCGACATCTCTTGCAAACCAGTTGACATCTACTGAGCTCCATTTGGACATTTGCTACCGCCTAGATACCAGTCGACATGTGTGTCAAACCGGTCGATATGTGTGAGCTTCAGCTTGGATTTTTGCCACTGCCTAGATACCGGTCGACATGTGCATCAAACCAGTCGACGTTTTCTGGTGCATTGACAATTTTGATAGATGACAGGTTTATGCTTAGGACTTTCAGTACAGGACATCTGCACACAGCTTATAAGTAAATGTCTTTACTTTAATTTATATGTCCATTTACTTTAAGTTTACAATGTAAATAAGGAAGTACCCCCCATTTGGATTCAATAAAAAATACTAAAAAATTGAAATCCAACTAAATCAAAATGTAGAAATTCAGTTTTAGTACAAATTTGAATTTCCAACAGTTTTGGTAAAAATGAATCCTTATGTAGACCAATGTAGACTTGGTAAAAAATTATGATAAAATCAGTTTAGGCTAGTTGAAGTATAAAGAGTTATTATCGGGGAAAATTATTTTGAAATAATCATTATTTCAAAAATTAATTTTTCATACTTAACCAAAAACACAGTTTTTCATGACGCGCATTCTGGGATCCTAATGTCCGTTACCAACTCATGGTAATAAGGCTTCTCATGCCTTAATTGTTGACCATTATGAATTATGATTGATGTGCATGGTCCTGGCATTTTAGCTCAAGTATTGAGTTCTTTCAAAGCTTATGCAAGCTTGAACTAACTCACTCTTTAGCAAAGACTCCATATGACAATTATATATGAATGAAGTGCATAATCTATTGCTAATGGATATAGGAGCATATGAATGATGATATGATATGATATGCATGGTCCTATAGAGATGAGCTTTAAATGGATTCATAAATACTTTGACATTTAATCCTAAACACTCACCATCCTATCTACCCTTTTTTTCAAGCTTTGTTCATGATCTTTAGGCTTTGAGGTAGTCTTGCTTTCTTCCTTCCTTTGAGTTTCTTTCTTGCTCATTGTAGTCCAAGTTATCTTTGCAACTTCAACTTTTCTTTGTATCCATTTCTTTCCTTAATGTGATCTTGAGTAATGGAATACTTGGAATGGTCTTTATGATCTTCATAGAGGTTCTTCTTTGAATATAAGTCATCTATAATACTCAATGTGAACATTATTTCTTAAACAACATTAATGATTTGTAATCATCAAAACAATTATATTGTCATTGGATAAAATCCTTAAGGTCAACATATATCTATTCTTACAATTATTTTGGGTAAATTTTAAGTTTGTCAAAATATCACAAAGATAAATTTTTATTTTATAATTTTACTTATCTTTTTTGATGTGGTTTATGTAACAGATTCTCCTATAAATTAAAGATATCTTGCGTAAACAAGCAAAATCTGTTATATTAGTAATGAAAAGTGGATAGAATTTTAGGGACCGCTTGAATTGTAACTTTGAAAATATTTATAACTGAATTTTCAAAAAACTGAATCAAACATTTCTAATTAAAAAAAAAATTATTTTTATAATTACAAATCAAATAGGCTATTAGTTTTGCCTTCTAATATCATAAGTATATGACAACAACAAATACTTTATGGCCTTGGGATGACTATTATAAGGGAGATAAGAAAAATTATAGAATTAATAGAAGTTTATGTAAAATATTAACAAACCGATAAGTGAAATTTACCTTATGTTTTTTTATTCCGAAATTTTAATCGTATTTTATAAGAATAAAATAAAATAAAAAATCAAGCCACAAGATCAACGCTATTCCGGCAGCCAGTAGATTCGCAGCCATTAGTTCGCATGCCTTCTCTTCGTCAACAAGTGGCTTGGGGAAGGGGTCAAGCGTAGGCACTAAACAGGCCTCTATAAATAGATACTGTATTATTATACTCACTCACTGTAAACCCTAGAAAAAGAACACACAATTACATACCAAAGTCTATATCTACACACTACCTGCCATGGGTTTGATCGGAAGTAGTTTCTCATTCATGTTGGGGACAGGGTTCGGAGTCTACGTTGCTCAGAACTATGACGTCCCCAACATTCAGAAGCTTGTCAACACAGGGCTTTTGATCGCGAAGCACATGGAGGAGAATTATCGGAAGCCGAAGAAGAGAAACGAAGACAATTGATTTCGAAGATATAAAAGACAGTCATTGGATTTCAGGTTTTCTATAGCTTTTTGTTCTCTATGGACCCCTATCAATGAGGTTTTTTTTATTGTGTTATAGATTCATAATGGAAAGTTGAAGAATTTGATGAATTTTATAGTTGTGTTTTGGTTCTGAGTTTGAATTGCACATGTCCTTTTACCCTTTGTTTGGTTTCTGAGAATATTGGGAAGTAAAATAAAATAAGACTTATCAGATTATTATTTCCAAGTGAAGGGAAATTTTTTGTGATTGTTCTGTGAGTATATAAAGAATGTTGTATAAAACACAACAGAGCAACTTAATTTATAAGAAGTTCAACGATGTGGTTAATGATCTGATCTGATGATGAACACATTTTGAAAGGCATTCTCTTCGATTCAATCAACATTATCACTCAATTGTGATGTTATGAGATTATTATTTTTTTTAAAAAAATACTTCTTTATGTTAAAAAATTAACAGTCACACTACAATTTCATCGCTAAATCTGTTCTTAAAAGATTTTGACATTTCTCCCAAAAGTGTGTGGTATATTGTCAGTTTTTAGGATTATGAAGCAAAACCATTTCTATATTTTATTATAATCTATTATGATGGTTGCACTTTTCTTATTGACATTTTAAAAATTCAATGGATATTTATGAACAAATCAGTATTTGAATAGTTTAATAATCTTGTAGGATTGATTATGGAGAGACCCTAGTAAAACTGAATCCTTTGTCATTATAAATTTTCCTAGCTATCAAAGTAAAGTACAGAATTCTGTAGATGTATTTATAATGGCTTTGGTAGTTTATAATTGTAGATGTGCAAGGGAGAGGAAGTATATAGTGAATAAATGTATAATTCAGTCCTTGTGAGAACTGAGAAGTTACAGCAACACAATGTTCAGCAGATGAATTAGATGATTATTAGAACTCAATGACAAAAACATGTCTTCTTTATTGGAAAATTGTGGGTGCAATATTGACACAATTTGCACAGTGGAGTCAAGACTTGCAGGTGAAAAGCAGTCATGAGAGGCTTCTGGTCAAGATTGTTGACATGGGGCCCCTTTGTACAAGTGGTTTTCTGTATTTTGAACGTAAAAAGTTACATATAAAAAGGCATGTTGCAGGCACCTATCAAGATGGCTGATCATATCTTTTATCCTGTGTCTACTGATGTTTAATAATAGTGATCAGCCAAGAGAATAGCGCCTGAAATTGAACATAAAAAGATCAATGACTATTGGAGCTTGCACACCAACCACACCAGTAGTCATCAACAATGGCCATGATCCTAGATGAACTGAACCCTGGTAGCTCCAGTTTGGGTAACACTGTTGACACAAATCAATAAATGAAGTGGGCTTAGTAGGTTCTTTAAAGAAATATGAATGTTCAAATCAAGAAATGGAATGTTGACCAGGGATGACATGGTCTCTGAATGATTCAGTTACCATGAAGGCAGCAGTAATGCCTACTCACAGCTCTAGTAGAACAATAATTCCAGGTGGCAGAAATGAACAGAAAATTATTGAAACAATAAGTAATAAATCCTGCCACCTTATGTAATGCCACATGCCTTTATTATTCTGGGAATTTTTGTAAGTGTACGTTTAACCTACTCGAGGGTATAGTTACAAAAAGGTGTCTTGAAAGAACCTGATAACCAATTCCTGATGCAGCCACCTCTTGGTAGTGTGGAAGCTTTTTCATGTTTTTAACTCCACAAACCATCCTAGATGAACATAATTAATGTCCCAGCTGAGGTTTGAGAGAAATTGAAGAAATAGGGAAAAAGTAGCTGAAAGCAGGGAAGAATAAGAGTTTGTTTGAACCACTAGGCTCTTGAAAGTGATTGTTGCATTAAGTTTGGAGTTCTTAGATAATTAAAGCGTAAGATCGCTACTACTAAACAGGAGAACCTTATACAGCTAAAGGATTTTGGGAGAATGTAATGGGCATGTGAGATTTGGATGTAGCCAGTGTTGTTATGGCAGCTGGGTGGTGTTTGTGGTTGCTGCTGTAGTACTGGAAAACAATGCACAGAAATACTATTAATGCTTCGTCTCTTCACTGTACCTTCCTGATTAAAGAGAAAAAAGTGGCATTACTCGGTCTTCGTCTTGCCATGGCAGGTCATTGGAGTGGAGGATACGAGACAGGCCTAACTTTTAGTATTTTACAAAGTGGCTGCTTTGAGGCTTGACGTGCTAGGGGCACCGATGCTTAAGTGCTTTACCACTGAACCAAGAAACGACCTTCCTAATTAAAGAGACACATCTAATACTTTATTAAAAGAAAAAAAAAAAGGAACTGGTTTTTGGATAAATCTTATTTTGGTATACAGTGAGAAGCAAGAAAGGAACCTCCATTTTCAAAATGATGATGAATAGCTAGTTTTCTAAACCAGTATATTCTGATGTTTCTGTCCTCAGACATATCCTCATATCCATGCAAGATACTTTGAAAAGTGAAAGCAGAGTATAGTAGTATAGGAACTTATTTTGGGTATTTCCTCCACCCTATTTGAATTTTGTGCTTGTTGTGATTCTGTTTGTAAATTGCCGTATGGCTGTATAACAGAAAAGAAGTTCTTACTTCTGTGGCAAATGAACACCTTTCTTTCCCCATCTATATTCTTGTACAAAGCTTAAGTTAAAACGAATCATGGAATTATTGGATGAAATGATAATTCATTATTAAGAATTTGAAATCAGTATAATTTCAAAGCCATGTTGCCCAATCTTTCATTTGGAATCACCATTGGATAGGAGGTTCATGCACTGCCCTGACCCATAGAGACACACGTGTTTAATACATTTTTTGGGCGGTCATTGCTTTTAAAATTATTTTGAGGTAGTGAAGATATAAAAAAGAATGATGGGTTTTCCTTGGAACCTGATTTTTATGATATAAAGATAAATAAAATTTTCACCATCATAAACTAATCGCTTAAGAATATTGTTTGTTACAGCTGTAGTGCTAGTATCTGACAATGAGCAGCAACCAAAACACCTATAAGGGTGAATCTTGGTCCACTGGATTACTCCACGGAGGCTCTCTCTTTTAGGGCACGTACCTGGTATAATCGTAAATAGAACCTGCTGGCTGGCTGGTCATGTAGAAATTTCTTGAAGTGTTTTGTGTGTTATTGATTATCTATATATTGGTGTTAACATTTCTTTGCAAATTTTGCTTTTGATTGCATATTGTTCTTTTGATTTGCTTATGTTACTCTCTGTGTGTGTTGGGGGATTTGTAAGAAGGGGGAAAAGGGGCGAGCACAGGCAGGAAGATTTTTCCTAGAAGTGGTTTCATGTTTGAAGGTGGAACTCCGTGACATCAGAGTTAAAAGTTAAAGTTAAAACCAAAGCATATATTTTGGGAAATTACTAGTGTGAATGGAATGCTTTTAAAATCTTTAGCTCGGTATTTTAACTGTTTACACAATGTGTTGTACTTTTCTGTTACTTCCATCTTTGGTGTAGAGGTTTTTCGTTAATATGTTCACAGCTTAAGATTAGTAATTAAATTATAAGATTTTCCTTTTGTTGATGCATCTTTAATTATCTTCTTGTGTGTGTGTGTGTGTTTTTCCTTGAAGGTGTATGTCTGTATGATGACGGAAGCTGAGATTAAGATATACATTTCTATGGCCAGATGTGAGTTTGAGTAATTGCAGTTTGAAAGATGTTAAATTTCACGTGACATAGTTTTGGATCTATAGTCTGTTTGACCATGATGGATGTGAGCTAGAACTTTTGTGTTTTATCCTTATAATTAAGCGATGTCACAGGCTGCAGATGCTGCTGGTACATTGATCCATACGTTGTTTTGTTAAACAATTGAGTCACTCAGGTAAAACATTGTGTTATTCGGTTATATATTGATGTTGCAGCTGAGCATACCCATATTTCTGTTTCTTCTTTGTTTTGCTTCCATGTGTTTATCGCTTTGGGGTTGAGAGTAATGACCCTTTCTCGGTCGGGATGAGAATTTGGATTAAGAGAACTGGTTAACTAACCAACGCAGATGATGAATCACATATTTGTATTCAACTGGACCAATCTACATGTTAACAGCTTTTTTCTAAAGTGAAGTCTATATGTTGTTACTGTCATTGTTCGGAATTGATACTTGTAGGCGACTTATAGCTTTTGATTATTTTATGCTGATACATCATAGTTTTCCTTCCCTACTAGTTAAAGGCGACATAAGATGGGAACAAATCTGGGCATTCAGTCATTAAGATTTTAAGGAATAATCATCATTTTTTTTAGGATGATTAATATCTTGATTGGTAAAACTGGTAATGCATGAATGCTGTAAATTCAGAAACTTGACAAATTTACCGGATGTTCCGAAAGTGACCAAAATCTAGACAATGAGAAACCTATATATGAGTTCTCATATATCACGCCTTTATTATATATAGGTTTTCTTTTTTAATTGCGTCTTACGTCTATCCCTTGTCCATATATTGAGATCCAATCAACATCTCAATATAGAAAAACCATACATCAATACCATATAATTAGATTCTATTTTCTCAGTCAGGCATCCTCCTTAATAGTTATATGCAGTTCACCAGAACCAGAAGAAGCCGTGTTACTGTTGGATGAAGAAATGGAAGCCAAGGGAATTGTCTGTTTCATTAAAGCACACCACTGATCAATATGCGCTGCTTGATCAGGATCCAGATTAGGAAGTTCACGTTGTTGTAGGATTTCCAGAATCTCTTCAGTTTCACCGAGAAGGCGGGCTGCGTACCGGACACTCTCCTCCCTTTTCTTTATGTCACTGTAAAAGTATTTCGTAGTTATGACATGTGGTAAGTTGGTGAGGCATGCACCCAATAAATCAGCAATCACATGAGACAACTGCTCGAACAATCTCTCATCTGCCTGTTTGTCTCTACCCTTGCAGTCCTGCAGCAAAGTTTGGCTGATTCTGTACATTGAATTTGCAGCGATGATCTTGTTGGGCCAGTTGAGAGGGTTCTTAAGATCCCCTATCATGTTTGTCTTGAATTCCATGAGACTATTTTTAGATATGTCAGTAAGTCTTTCAAGGGTCTCCTTGGAGGTTTTTCCTTCAAGAGCCATTTTTCGGAGATCCTTGTCTAGCCACTTGTGATAAAGGTCAACTTCTAACCAAACCATGTGTGCTGTTTTTCTGACGTTTATCAACTCTCCTTCGGCATTTAGATTTTCCTCCACAAGTCTCACATATGATAGACCTTCAGTTACACTACGTACCAACCTGTCCACCATGTGTTTTTCAATGTTAGGAAGTGCAATGGCGATACTTGTTAGGGTAGCCACCGGAAGAGTCCAACAATTTGGAGGTTCTTCGAACTCTAGAGATGGTACTTGGTTGCTGTCGAATTTCGCTACCCCCTCAAAGTTGGTAGATTTCTTTAAAAGCTCTTTTAGATATTTTGGCCTCTGTTTTTTACCCATCTGAATTAAATAATCTGTTGCATCCCTATCGTTCTTCATGATCCATAGGGGTAATTCCTCCTCACCTTCAAGATGCAAAACATAATGGCTAAGTTCCAGATATGAACTGTGCTTGGACCCTGGTTGCGATTTTGATCTGGAGTTATTGTTTGGTCCATTAGATTTGGGATTCTTCCCAAATCTCTTGCAGCAGTGCCAACATTGCGTGAACTGGGTTATGAAGGAAACGGGGAAGAGTAAAACTGATTTGCTCACTACCACAATCACGATCTGAACTCTTATGCAGAAGTTCAGAATTGAATTTCTTGTGACATGGACAAGTTTTCTGCATTTTTGTCCCCGAATTTGTAGAGGTAAGGGGCTCTCTTTCCACTCAACCAGTTTTTGGATCCAGTATTTCTCTGTTATGAACTCAGGTTTGTGGCTCTTGTCTTTTTTCATTGCATATTGGAACTTTATGGCAGTGAACCATCTAAATGCTGGGGAAAGTGTACCCAGTACCACTCCACTAGACTGAGTGATGAGAATCAAATAGGTTGACCATTTATAATCCGAATTTATTTCATAAGGATAGCTAAACAAGAAGCATACTTGGACAGCGGCTTCCACTAGAATGAGAGCAGTCATGAAACAGATTGCCCCAGAAGCAGAGCAAGTCACAGAACGTGCCATCACAAATTGAGGGCTACCTGTTTCTGCCATAACGCAGTGTCTTTTCATATCTTCTTTTAGTTTCTCGACTCTGAACTTTCGAGTATCCTCTGTTCCCTTATTTAAAGCCATTTTGTATACCTCACCATACTTAAATTCTAGATACATTTTTGTCGTTGGAACAGCTAGAGCTGAGAAACTCAATATTACAAGCAAAACTAGCATTAGAAACACGACTAAACTTTGCTCTGCCCTTAGAGCATAAATTACGCCTGTACCAATTTGGATGCAAACATTCACAACCATGGTGATCACGAGAATACCCAAGGCAGTTATATTCGTTAAAACTTCCCTGTCATCTATTGCTCCTATAGAAGGCATGAAATTAGCCATTACGGTAGACAGAAAAACTGTGCTTCCAAGTTTTGCAAGCTGATCCATTTTTCCTGGCATTGGGTTAGTTAGATCTACCGGCAGCTTCATTGCTACAGATAATGCTGTCAGAGAAGTGGCATTGAGAGTGAAACGTTTGCATGGAAACCAGAGTTTTTTTTGGCGGAAACCTTGGAAGGCATCGGCAGCCATTGCAAGAGAACAGACTAGAGATGCTGCAGCAACATAGATGCCAATCCATGGCATCGGTGAGTTAATTATTTCCGTGTCACAATGGTCAGAGTCGCAAGAATACATTTTTTATCTCCCTTAATCTGACTGTTTCTTGTTTGGGTTACAGTTATGTTGTTGGGGAAAGGCAAGACCTTGATGGTCAGATCGCGTCTTGCTCTCAAGCCCTTGCTGCTATGTTTCCTATTGATGAACTTAGTGATGCTGATTGAGGTTAAAAGCCTCCTGATCTTCCATGTATCTTCTGGTGAAGATTCTGGAAAGCAAGCTGTTTGGAGCTGTCTGTCAGGAGATTGATTTAAAGAAGCCACCCGACTTTCATGGTGAGAAGACATTTGTTGGCCAAAAACAAATTTTCCATCAACATTTCAATTGTTGGGAAAAGGTGGTTGTATTTCAAGTTTAAATCCTCTCTTTTTGTTGGAATGTGTTTTTTATGGGAAGTAAACAACAACCGGATCACCCATTCAAGAAGATTTCATAAACTCTAATGTTTCTCATATAATATATGCGGATGATGTGCTCATTTTTGCAGATAAGCTCCGTGCCTACTGCGTTGGCCATCAACCAAGTGCTGAAATAGTTTCACAGCCAGGCAGGTCTTGGGATTCATAATTCTTTGTTGGAATGATCTGACAATTTCTAATATTTTTCCTGGAATCTATGTAGGATGACTTCCTGGTTTGTCGCGTCACTGTGTCTAAATCCAACCTTCAACACGAAGGCAGATATTTTCGAAATGGTTCTTTTTTAAGGGCCCTCAGTGAGGGTGTGGTTGTTCATGGGCGTGGCGACGCATATGGATGGTGGCATCGCATAATGTTAAAATATGGTCTGATGTTGAATGTGTTGTTGAACAAGAAGGCAATGCAGCGTTGTGTGTGTAATTGTATTGTCTTGTGTGGGATTGCCATATCTCCTCTGACGTTGAATGTATTGCTGCCACTGATTGTATTCCTCCTCCATTGTTTATTGAATATTCTTGCTTGCCTTTATTATTATTATTTAAAAGTAAATAAATAAAATTGGCCTACTATTTGGGCTTCAATTTGGATTGGATGAACCAGAAAGTGTTGAAACTGAGTGGATCCATTTTTCGTTTTTGGTCGTGATTTTCGGGGTCAAATCATCTAATTTTAGAATTTCTAAAATGGAGATGTACAATGCAAAACAAAACCTTATCGGTTTTACAAAAATTTCCTCTCAATGCAAAAGATCTTGAACTAACGTAATAATGATAATCTTCCACGCCACTTGTTGGAATCTCTGATATGTTAAAAATAATTGAATTAAATAAATGTAAATTAATATTTTGTGAAAGAGAAGTGGTGAGAAGCGAACACTTAGAAAACTTTTATTCCAAAAAATCCACTTATAAAAATACTTAAACACGTGTTTATTTATATATGTTGCAAAACATTTCTATTCATTACACATATAAACAAGAGTAATGATATAGAATCCATGCATGTATGTCTATATTTAAAGGCCTAGCCACTTACATAAAATAGATATCTCTATCTTTTATTTTTTGAATGTTCCAAAATTCAAAGTAAAAGTTATGTTTAAAAATTTAAAGAATTGATTTTTGTAACATTATTATTTTAACTTTCTTACCGTAAACTTATAAAAATAATTGTCAAATTTCTACAACTTACTACGAATAATTTATTAATTCATCATTGCCACTATAATTAATAAAAAAATAAAAAATCCTAAAATTCATCCTCATAAAAAGTTAGATTCCCAAGAACATTTAATTTGGGATTTTACAGAATATATATATATATATATATATATATATATATATATATATATATCCGTGCATATCACTTATTATTACTATTATTTTTATTTTTACAGTTGAAAAGTTTATGATTTTCTCAAAGACTGGAGTCCACTAGATCAACGCTATTGTTCCAACAAGAGAACCTTGTGGAAGGGGTCAGGCTTTTGGCACTAGACAGATCTCCATAAATACATACTGTATGTATTATTATACTCTTCACTCACTGTAAACCCTAGAAAATTAACTCCCAATTACATACCAAACTCTACATCTATCTATAAACGATCTGCAATGGGCTTGATCAAAAGTAGTTTCTCATTCATGGTAGGGACAGCGGTCGGAGTCTACGTCGCTCAGAACTACAATGTTCCCAACATTCAGAAGCTTGTCAACACAGGGATTTTGATTGCGAAGCACATCGAAGAGAATTACCGGAAGCCGAAGAAGAGAAACGAAGACGATTGATTTCCAAGATGTAAGGCGTCCTTGGATTTCAGGTTTTCTATAGCTTTTTGTTATTTTCGGTACCCCTATCAATAAGGGTTTTCGATGATCAATTGTTTTGTTTTCCCCCTTTGTTGTGGGATTTACTTCAAGATTGATAATGGAAAGCTCAAGAATTTGATGATTTTATCATTATGTGACTTTTGAGCGAAGCTAAAAATTTAGTGCCTGTATAAAACACAAAAGAGAAACTTAATTTACATATAATGGTGTGATTAATGACTGGTCAGCTGAACACGCAGTGAGAGGCCTTCGATTTAATTATCATTATCAGTAAGTTCTTGAAGTGCATTTTTGCTTAAAATCCATGTCACATTACAATTTGACCAATAATTGTGGTCTCTAAGTAATTGACATTTGGTATTTGGTCAGTTTTAGAATTAATCATGTCTAATTTTTGTTATAATCTATTATAATGTTTGCACTTTCTAGAACGGCCCTGTTGAATATGATTGATCTGCACATAAAATTTATGAACAAAGTAGTACTTCAATTCAATTATCTTGTAGTATTCTAATTATAGTGACAATTGTAAAACTGAATCCTTCCTCACTATAATTTTTCTTAGCAATCAAAGCATAGAATTCTACATCGTGTTGGGTCAGGTGGACTTATCTATAATGACTGTGGTAGTTTGTAATTTAGATGTACAAATGAAGGAAAGGATATTGTTGATTAATGAATAAAAGTTATTCAGTCCTTGTGAAGATAAGGGAGCTCAGTAGTCAGCCAATAAGGACGTTTATTAGAACTCGAAGACAAATAGTGTCTTCTTTCCTCGCATTGGAAATTGTGGATGCAACTTTGACACAATTGGCGTAATAATGGAGTCAAGACTAGTGTGCTCCGAGTGTTACGATCTCAGTACTTGCAGGTGTAAAACGGTCATGAGAGGCTCCAGGTTCAAGATTTTTTTTTTCCTAAATGGAGGAAATATTTTATAAATATAAACAATAAATACAAGAGACACATGGGACATACCCCACATGGGACACAGCCTAAACAAAGCATATCAAGACATAAAACAAAACATATTCAGGCAAACCTCTAGATGAAAAACTAATGAAATTTGTTAACATAGGACCTCTTCAATCATGACTGTAGCTTAAGTTCGATCAAATTTGTTTTGTTTGTTTGTTTAAGTCCATCCATCGCTGGGTGTAAGTTGGGGTTCACCTCCATGTAATCTATGTGGAGAAATATGGGAGCAGATGATGATCATTTTGACATTTTTGGGAAGACTAGAGTCGTTGGGTGATAACAAATTATTACACAAGTGATCAGATTCATTGATTAAGCAGAGTCTAAAGCAAGACTCATTTGGAAATTTCCGAAAGTGAAAGTAAAAATTTGACATTATTTCATTAACCAGATGAATCCTTCTTACATTAACCTTGTTTGAATCTCATTGCTCCAGTCTTGACAGACATCTTTCTATGGCAAAACCATGTGTAGAAACAATATTACACTAATTTTTTTGGGCACTTCTAGTGGTACACTGGTGCTGCATGACTTACAGTTGTGGTGCTAACAATATTGTAGTAAAGGTAATAATAATGAATGTAATGGATCCCAACAAAATCCTCTATGGGTTCTGTACCAACCACACAAGTAGTCATTGAACACTAGCAATGATCCTAGATGAACCATACCCTATAGGGCCACTTTGAGTGGCATTGTTAGTATAATTCTACAAAATGAAGGCGGCTTATAAGGGCACATATTTGGCATAAATGAAAACGACACCCTGTGCTCAGTGGTTTTGTAGAACTTTCTTCTTTTCTGTTTTCTTGATCATCTATATATTGGTGTTAACTTTTCGTTGCAAATTCGCTTCGATTGTATGTGGGTTCTTTTGATTTGTGTATGTTAGTCTCTTTTTGTGTGCCTTGGATGAATCGAAAGAAGGTGGAGGGGAGCAAGGACAGGAAGATTGTTCCTGGAAGTGGCTTCATGTTTGAAGTTGGAATTAAAGCGTACATTCTGGTGGGGAAATTACAGGCGTGACTGTGATGCTTTCAAAATTATTAGGTCAGTAATTTAACTGCTTACATAATGAGTACTTTTCTGTTATTTATCCTTGAAAAAAAAAAAGAAAAAAAAAAAAAAGAAAAAAAAAAAGGTACTTTTCTGTCACTTCCATCTTGGGATAGAGGTTTTTCATTTGTGCATATAAAATTTTGTTATATACATTTCTGAAATGAGATATTCACTGATCCTTGGTGCCAAGTTCACAGAGTCTGTTATCTAGATTTGGACATAGACTGTATAGAGAACTTGGGTTGCCCAAACAAGCTCCATTGTCTGCTATAATCCAAAATGGACAATGGAACTTCCCAAGGAACTTTGCTTTCTCACTTAAGCTTCATCATGGTAAGGACTCTTATCACATGGAAACATGGGGCATTCTCATTCAAGAATGTGTGGGATAAGTTTCGGATACAACATCAGAAAGTTCAATGGTTTGGTCTATGTTGGAGTAGATGCAGGCCTAGAGCAGCTATTACCTGCAGTCTAGCAGTTCAGAATAAGCTCTTATCCTTTGAAAACCTGAGGAAGAGAGGTCTACAACTCACTGCTGTTGGTCACAACTGTATGCTTGCTGCTGATGATGTTGACCACCTGTTTGTTACCTGCCTTCTTGCAGCAGCTGTTTGGAGCTGGTTCTCAGACCTATTGGGATGAAATTTACCTCAATGTGATACATTGGACCAACTTGTTGCCTGGTTTAGTATCAAAAAGTTAAAACACAAAGCTCAGAAATGAATTTTTGCCACCGTTATTTGGCAACTGTGGCAGGAGAGGAACTCAAGACTGCACCACAACACTAAGAGAACTTTTGAAGACATTTCTAGAGGTGTCAGGTGTGTGGTGGGAGGTCCTGTTACTTGCTGATATGAACATGGGAGAGCTTACCTCCCATTGATGTTTCTTTCTACTGTTTTCTTATTTCACGTCTTTCTTGATACAATTTACTGAGGTTTCCAACTCCTTTGCTGTTAGTTTTGTTCTTGCTGTTCCAAGGGTATGCCCTTCTAGTTGACCTGTACTATAGGTTCATTATCTATAAAAATTTTCCAACTTTACCCAGGGAATTTTTTTTACCTTACATTGTTTTAGATCTATAGTCTAAGTTTGACCACAGGAGATGTCTCTAGAAATAATGTATTATGTCCTCACTGTGTTGGTTAGGCAAACAGTTACACACCCACAAATGCCACTATGAGGCTCGAATCCCTCACCTCCCATTTGAGGGAGGAGAGGTTCTACCAGCTGGGCTAATAGTCCAGTGGTTATTCTGTCCTTACTCCTTACTGTTAAGCTATGAGCTATGTCACAGGCCTCAGATGCTGCTGCTAAATTGATCCATGGCATTGCCTTGTTAAACCTTTCGAGTCTTTGTTCATATCAATGTTGCAGCCGTGCATACCCATATTTATTTGTTATTTTTCAAGTGCGCGCTTATGGCTTTGGAGTAGAGAGCTGTTGGCCCTTTCCCTATGGGTATGGGAATTTGGGTTGAGAAAACTGGTTAACATCACAGTGGACTGATAAATGACATTTATGTATCCAATTGCACCAATGTTCATATAAATAATTTTACTTAAAGGAGGAAGTTTGTAGTTTGCATGTGTCATGTCTTGGAGGATTCTTCATCAGATCTCTGATCACGTTTGTCTTGAATTCCAAGAGACTATTTTTATCTATGTTCGCAATGCTGATGCATCATATTTTCTGCAGATCTTCATCTAGCCACTTGCGATAAAGATCAACTCCTAACCACACCATATCGATCTGCTGCTTTTATGATGTTTATCAAACCTCCTTTAGCACTTAGGTTTTTTTTCTACGAGGTTGACATACAAGAGGTCTTCACTCACACTTCTTACCAACCTGTCTGCCATGTGCTTTTCAATGTCGGGAAGTTCAATGGCGATGCTTGTTAGGGTAACCACTAGGGATGGCAATGGGGCGGGGATCTCACTCCCCATCCCCATCCCCAGTCAAATTTTTTACCCCCATCCCCACCCCCATACCCGTTTAATTTTCAACCCCTTTCCTTATCCCCGGCCCGCCCCGCCACATTAGCCCCCATCCCCGTCCAAACCCGCCCTGCATAACATTTTTTAAATTCCAATTCACCTTCAACAAAATCAATATAGCCATAATATTTTTCAATCTAATAATTAAATAAAGTTTCAGCACAATTATAACAATTTAAAATATGATCAGATGTTTGATGCACAATAACAATGTTTTTTCTCTATGCTGCAAGGGAATAGATATAGGGTTTCACTTTTAGAAGTGAATATATTATATATATAGTTATGTAATTGAGTAATATTTTATAACATGTAAGGACAATTTTATAAAAATGCACTATAAATGGGGCGGGGTTATCCTCCCCTGCCCCCACCCCATCCCCCGCAGGGGTTTCAAATACAATCTTCATCCCCTCCCCATTTACATAAATGGGTTCCCAAACCTGCCATAAACAGGGCGGGATGGGGCTGGGACCCGCTGGGTATGGGGATTTTGCCATCCCTATTAATCACAAGAAGAGTCCAACAATTAGGAGGTTCTTCAGACTCGAGATGGAACTTGGTAGCTGTCAAACTTTGCTATCCACTTGAAGCTGGTAGATTTCTCTAAAAGCTCTTTCGGACATTTTGGCTGCTGTTTTTTACCTATCTGAATGAAAACATCAGTTGCATTTCTGTTATTCTTCATGATGTATAGAGGTAGCTCCTCCTCACCTTCAAGATGCAAAACATAATGGCTAACTTACAGGTATGAACTGTGGTTGGACTGTGATTGCGATTCGGATCTGGAGTCGCTGTTTCCTGCATTTGATTTGGGCTTCTTCCTGAACCTCGTGCAACAGTGGCAACATTGCAAGAACTGGAATATGAAGAAAACGGGGACAAGTAGAACTAATTTGCTCACTACCACAATCACGGTCTGAACTCTTATGCAGAAGTTCATAATCAATTTTTTTGTAATATGAACAAAGAGGCAAGGGGCTCTCTTTCCACTCTAGCAGCTTTTTGGATCCAGTATTTCTCTGTTTTGAAGCTCTTGACTTTTTGAATTGTATATTGGAATTTTATAGCGGCGAACCATCTGTGCTGGGAAAATTGTACCCAGTATCAGTGTATCATCCCACTATACTGAATCACGAGAATGAAATAAGTTGACCATTTATAATCCGAATCAATTTCATAAACATAGCTAAACAAGAAGTGCACTTTGACGGTGGCTTCCGCTAGAATGAGAGCAGTTAGGAAACAGATTGCCCTGGAAGCAGAGCAAGTCACAGAATGTGGCATCACAAACTGAGGGCTACCTGTTTCTGCCTTTTTGCATCTTTCAGTTTCTCGACTCGATCTGAACTTTCTAGTATCATCTGATTCTTTATTTGAAGCTATTTTGTGCAGCTCACTGTACTTGACTTATTTTTCTGGTTGGAACAGCTAAAGCTGAGAAACTCAATGTTACAAGTAAAACTAGGATTAGAAACATTACCACCAGCACCTATTTGGATGCAAACGTCCGTTCAGAACCATGGTGATCACGAGTATAAAAGAGATGTTTAACTAGTTAGAAATTTTACAATCGGTTGGACTTCCTGGAAAGTAAGAAATTAACTTTAAACACTATTTTTCAAAGTCTATATTATGTTTTCATCGAATTATCCATGCACTTGTTCAACTCGGATGACCGCCAGGACACCAACTAAAACAAAAAGTAGAACTGGATCAATCCAAATTTTGACACTGAAATTTGTCAACCATAACTATGTTTCTCACCTATTTAACTCGGATGACCGACTACCAATTAAAACAAAAATTACAACTCGATTAATTGAAAATTTGACATCTAAATTTGTCAACCAAAATTATGTTTTTCACATATTTGATTCTTAACAAAAAAAACATGAACTATCCTAATAAATAAACAAGACTCAGAAGAAAAAACTAATTTAATCGATCTGTTAAGAGATGAGCAGAATGAAATCTAAAATTTTACTCAATTGAATATAACTCATTCAAAAAAATATATATATTATTCTAGACAAATAAAACCAGTTTCTTTCATGTATTTTTAAAAAACATACACTTATCACAACTTGGGAAACATAAACAAACTTAACACATCACCAACCAGAAGGCCCATTGCCTTCATCCTTTTTTAGTTATCTCGGATATGTGTGAATTCAAAGAATTGTCCACGGGGCTAATAAATTTTGGGCAAATTACACAAACCATCCGTGAAATTTCTATATTGTTATTGTGTATGTAGATAGAAGTTATAGCAATATTACAAGAAGGTTCATATTGAAATTTCATTTTTGCCCTTGGGTACACCACATTGCTTCCCTACCACATCATTCCTCTTTTCTCTCTCTAAATACATCATTCCACCCTCTCTCCACTGTAACATCCACCACTTCCCTCTGCTTCCACAATCTCACGGCCTCTTTCCTCCACCTCCACCTCTGCCACCGCCCCCACCCCCCTCAGCCCTTCAACACCACCACGTCAACACCACAAGATCAAAGATCTCATCTCATCTTATCTTCTCATCTCTCTCGTCTGGAGGAAGAGCAGCGGCGGCGACGAGGCTTTCATCCTCTCTCCCGGCGACGCCTACAACACACATATTACAATCCCATCGTTGTCCTCACCCAACCAAACCAATTGTCAAATTGCAAACCCGTAACCGAAACCAATTCCACAAAACCCAAACGCAAGACCCAAACCACAAAACCCCAACACAGATCAAAGCCAACCCAACCCAACCCAAAACCATCACCACCGCCAAAAATTGTCTTGCCGTGGTCAGAATATCACTGTCATCACCAAGCCTGTTAGTCGTAACTGGAGTCACGTCTTGCCGCCATGAAATGCAATTAATAAAGGAATTGCTGATTCGCTCCACGATTTGAAGCGTCAACTCGTCGAGGATGTCTTGATTGCCACTGTCGCCGAAGAGAAGAAGTCGTTGCCCTTGGATAAGCGTCGCGATGCGACGCGATTGATTCACTCAACCAAGTCACCGGAATCGATGGCGTTGAGTGACGGTGGCTGCGACTGTAGATGAACTGCGACAGTGCACGGCGAGACGGATCCAGCTTTGGTGACGACAGCTTGTGCACGCCGAGGTGGATGCAACGGCGATGGGCTGCGGCTGTGAGCTCGAGGATGATGGCGGAGAGCTCGGCTTTAATGGAGGCGGCGACGAGCTCGGCTTGATGGGCTCGGTCGTGGAGGATGTCGGCTGTGATGGAGGCGGTGGCGAGCTTATATGGGATGAGCTTGGCTGTGGCGGATGTCGGCTGTGATGGAGGTGGCGACGAACTCGGATGCGGTAAGCGAGGTTGAGCTCGGACGGTGGAGAGCTGTGTGGTGATGGCAGTGACGGAACGACGAGCTTCGAACAGAAGACTTGGCTGTGATGAGGTCGGAATGATTTTTGGCTCTATGGTTGGATTTGGGTCTGTGATTGGTTTCGTTGCAGATAGTTTTGTGGTTTGTGCAATTTGGTAGCTGGGATGGAGTCTTAGGGGTAAAATTGTAACTTTAATAATACATCAATTTTTTTATAAATTTTTTCATTAAACAAATAGTTTAACTCTAAGTACAAAAATGTAAATTCATATTAATCCACTGACCATAAACAGTTAATTTGGATTTGTTACAATATGGCCATCTTTTATCTACGTATATAAGTTGAATTCCTGACGAGTCCTTTGTGTAATTTGTCCATAATTTTTTGAGTAGGTTAATAATAGTAATAATTTTTTTTAATTAATTAATTAATTATATTATTAGGGCTGGGCTATATTTTTGCTGGACACCCTGGATCCACCAGCCTCTACCTAATTCAGTCTTTCAAACAGACGTGTAGCTCTAACGTGAACTCCTCCACAAACAATAATGCAATTAAGCTTCGGAATCACAATCTTCAAAACACCAAACTTCAACAATGCCTCGATCTGGTCGGGGTTGTAGAGACCGGGAGGGAGATCAATAACGAAGGAGTATATCCTCGGCTCCTCCTCCTCCTCAGGCTCCTCATCATCATAATCAGTTTCTTTCTCTGCCTTCCCTTGAATGTGGATTGCATTCTTTTTTATTTGAATATTCAGACCTTCTTGGCCGATTCCAGGCATATCCACCCTCACTACTGTCTCTAGCTCGTAATACATCACAACCAAACCTTGATTGAGAAATGGATGGCCAAAATAGTCCCAGTGAACCTCCCCATGAACTGTATATATATATACATATACATGTATCGAAATGAATCAAAATACATTAATAAAGAAACGAGTCAAGAAAAATAATCATCAAGTAGGAACAAGGTGAGAGAGCCTTTAAAAAAAAAATTATATATATGGGTGAGAGAAATTTAGAGATCGACAATATTGATTGAGTATGAGTATGAGTATGAGTATGAGTCGTCACTTATTCCTCGGGAGGACCGACGCTCTACTTCTTCGTCGGAATATCCATCGTCGTAGTTGTAGTCATCGTAGTCGTAGTTGTCAGAATTGTCATCATTGGGGGCGGCGGAGGAGTTGAAGGAGCGATAACAGCCACCAGTGGTGAACGGCTTCAACGTTTCTTTGTCGAGACAATTGGGTGGAGCTATGGTGTGGATAGAACGAGCGACGAAGGATCGAGTGGCGGCAACCACCAGTCGTGAACGGTTCAGGTGGAGGTTGATGAAGAAGTGGGTTGAAGCAGTGGCTCTGCTTGCAAGGCGGCTATAGATGGCCATTGACGAATTTGGAGGGTTTTTTCTGTTTTCTCTCCAATTTTTGTTAGTCTATCGATTTCTAGGGTTATTATCCGATCCGATCCTATCCATATGAATTGGATAGATTTTTTTAGCTCGGGTAAAAACTGAACTCATTCATGTTATTATTGATTTGTTAGTTTTACTCACCCCTCTCCCAGTTAGTTGCCATCTTTGGAAGTACTACCTAGTAATTCTCAAGGGAACATGATGCATGGTTTCCTTTAAAATTATTAAATTGTTTTCTAAGTTTAAGTATAGTACAAAGTTATAAGAATTTTGAAAATTTATTTTGTTTGAAGGATAACTAATGGAAGATTATATATTACCAGTAACTGGTATTTTTAACTTAAAAGCTTAATCCTAACTCTAATCCAAAAGCATAATGATTAAAACACTAAGTTATATGACCCACATGTTGTCTCAAGATATAACACCTGAAGCCACTACATAAAATAATGATTGAATACTATTATAGCCATAAAATGTCATTTTCAACAATGGACTTCCCAGTCATCAATCTACTAATGTAATTTGTGCTTATACATACTATTATAGGCAAGAAGCACAATTTTTAGGCACTAAACTTCCAACTTTTAAACGAACAAATTTTGCTTATACCTTAGTTTCTTGACTCATACATGCATTTTTGTTTTCATGAGTACTTGAATCTTAAACATTTGATTTTAGAAGGCGAGTAATACCATTAGGCTACAGGTACTAACGATGATTACTTCGTTGGGTTCATTCTATCAGGTACTTGAGCCATAGACATTTTATTTTAGAAGGCGAATGGTACAGACGATGATTATTCCGATTGGTTCTATCAAGTACTTAAACCCTAGACATTTTACTTTAGAAGACGAATAGTACCACTAGGCTGCATATTCGGACGATGATTACTCCAGTGGCGGGGTTCATTCTATCTGACTTCACATAGAGATACTAATTGATAAATGAACTTCAATGGCGGGTGGAAT